CTATAGTTGATTGGTTTGAAGTGAAACAACGTTGATAAAGCCATATTAAATTTATGATGCAATGGAGAAAGTGAAAGTCATTAAATATAGACTTAAGATAATAAAAGATGCCAAAAGTCGTATGGAGACGTAAGAAGAAGGGAACTAGAGTTCCAAGTTGGAGAGTGAGTTTTCCTGAAAGTGTCACTTATGAAGGGTGTGATGAGATTTGTCAAGAAATGGAAGCTCAATCCTAAATATGTGGTATCTTACAAGATTCAGAAAAAGGATCGGTAAAGTGGCCTATGTGTTAGAGTTGCCAGCAGAATTAGCAGCACTGCATCCAATTTTCCACATTTAGTTATTGAATAAATGTGTGGGTGATCCATTATCCATAATATCGCAGAGAGTGTGGTTGTGAAGGATAGTCTCACTTACGAGGATGTACCAGTTGGAATTCTTGACCGTTAGGTTAGAAGGTTGAGAAACAAAGAAGTCGCATCAGTTAAGGTTTTGTGGAGAAGTCAGTCCATAGAGCGAGCTACCTGGGAAGCAAAAGCAGTCATGAAGGCCAAGTATCCTCACCTCTTTCCTTCCGATTCCACTCCATATTGATTCACACCCCAAGATACCCCCGAGACATGGACTTAGGATCACAAGTGATCTCAAGCTAACCCTGCTGGCATGATCACAAGGATACTAAAGATAATAAACTGATGCCGAAACTAAATCATAAAAAAATAAAAGGATGGGGAATACCCATATACTTAACTGAGATAAATGAAATATTGATGAGTTTAATATATGAGTTTAATATAGATGATATATTAATTCAATACTAAGCTGAATCTAACTATATCTGAAATAAGCCTCTAAACTGACTAGAAATGTTGGGTCATGCCCCAACTAGATCTACTAAAACTGAAACTAAAGGACTAAAAATAATGAAAAGAAACTCATGATTATTGTCCTTGGAGAATCAGGTTTCACCACTGATTCTGCTGAATTGGAGATCGGTAACCGACCTAAGCGTGATCTGGATTCGGAGAACCTGGACCTACATCACGATAAATGTAGCTCATGTATGCATCAGTACTTGAAAGGTACTAAGCATACATGATAAGTAAATCTGAAATAACATATAATGAATAAAGTAGTATGGCAATGAAATAATCTGAACATGATGTGATACTGAGCTAAATAGATACAAGGACCACATTTATAATATGCTGAATGAATACTGACTGATCTGTAAATATAGTCAATACAATAGAGTCTAACTTAATTGTGGGAGATACTAATAACCGACAATAAAACAACATGAGTTAAATATGGAGTCCAATGTATGTGCCCCATCGAGAGGACCCAATTTACCCGGCCAAAGGTGCAGAAGCATGATGGCGTCATCACTAAAATGACGCCATATAGGGGAATTACAACATACATGGCTAGTAGTTCTGGGACTATTTGGGTACACGGAACCCTAGTCCAACTTGGTATTATGCTACTCCTAATGAATTAAGTAGTTTGCACATTATGATTGAGTTTCTGTAATAATGGATAGCTCAAAACTCAACATGCAAACTGAGAATGCAACAATTAATTTGATAATGATGCATTATTGAGTGGGTCATGTATAACTGAATGACTGACATATCTGACCTAGTATGTATAATTGAAGAACTAAAGAAATACATAGCTAGGATTCTGAAATTCATGCAATAATATAAATATTAACGTAATTATCTAATTTGATCATTTTAACAGCTAAAACTCAACAATTCTAATATTCAAGAAACCCTAAGTCTAGATAATATTGAAGGAATCAAGAATTTGAATAAAAACTAGGGACCTAATGGGCAAAAGGACTTCACTAGTGAAATCCCACATACTTAATGACAAATTCCATGGAGAAACCTTTCAATTTTGGGACTGGAACTAATGGAACCTTGCTACGTTCTTGAACTAGGGTGTGTGACCTTTTTTTCTCTTTTGCTTCTAATTTTCCATGTTTTGATTAATGATTTGACTTAGGTAAGTTCTAGTTATGTTTTTAGGCTTAAAATGACTAAATTCTCATAATTTAGGGTCTAAACAACATAGCTTAGGAGACCAAAAATAAGAAAAGACCAAAATACCCCTGATTTAATTGCTATCGGAGTGATTGACGGACAGGACCTACGGGTCGTAGGTCAAACTACAATTTGTAGGTTGGGGTTGTAGAAGTTTTCTCGACAAGGCTTCACTAAAACACGCAATACTTTATAATTGGAGATTGGATTTTAGCAAACTCGATGGAGTTGGAAAGAGGATTTAATTATCTATCATATCATAGGTCATGGGGAATTTAATTCCTTTTGGGATAAGAGTTATGACGATTCAAGTTGTCCCAATCAACAATTCCCCCTAAGTGACTGCTAACCTTCACCTACAGCCAAACCTACAGCCCGTATGTCCATCTACGGACTGTAATGGTAGATTATGGTTTGTGTTAGAGGTTGGGTAAAGGGGACTTCGATCTACAGACAAATACCATGGATCGTGGTCTAGTCTGCAGATCGTAAATTTAATTCGTGGGTCGAGACTTAGCTGATTTTCAGGGTTGGGTTTTGGGGAGGGGTTGTATTGGTGAACTACAAATCTAAAACACGGGTTGTAGATCAGACTATGGTTCGTGGATGGTCGTAGGTTGCGCCTACAACATCTAAAAATTTGAAATCTGGTCTGCTTTTGGATACGGGTGTTACACTTGAGGTACTAGTTCTTTTTTTTAGTCATTCATGCGCAAGTTCAGTCTTAGCATCATGTTACTTAAGTTATACTTGCATTTTCAACGTATTTGCATGTTCTTAGAACTCAGTTCAGTGAGAAATCAGTTTCCAGTGCTTAGTTGTAGGGTTTGCAGCTCTTTCCCTCTATTCCAGCTAGTTTATTCTTCATTCAAGGATGAATATTCCCAAGAGGGAGATAATGTAACACCCATATGCCAAAACTACCAAAATGCAGATTTCCACAAGTATAGTTGTCATCGATAGAGGCCACCTATAGATCGTAGTTGGGACCACTGTCAGTGAACCAGGTCCATGGAATGTGGTCCGAAATAACACCCTAGAAAAACCACGACTGTATGTGGGACCACGATTCGTGGAACGTGGTCCATAGAAAAAACCCTAATCATAAGTGGGACCATGACCTATGGACCAGTTTTGTAGTACGTGGTTCGAAAAGAAAAAATACAACCCATGGCCAGGACCTACGGACTGTAGGTTAAACCACGGTCCGTGGAATGTGGTCCATAGAACCCGTCCTATGAAACTGAACGATGAATGACTAGGACGGACCACGGTCCGTTGACCAGGTTCAGCGATTGGTTCAGACAACTTTTAAGTCAGGGTCATTTTGTTTTTTTCCCTATGAGTTCGACTCCTAAACTACGTCGTTTAATCCTTAAACTATGTGATTTTCTTAGTTTTAGCTTAGAAATATAACTAGATCTTACCTAAGTCAAACCATTCATCAAAAACTTATAAAACAACTAGAGCGTAAGACGGAAAACATGTCAAGAACCATAGTTCAAGAACGCAACAAGATATCATTAGTTCCAGCCCCGAAATCAAAAGATTTCTCTGGTGAAATTTGTCACCAGGTATGTGTAATTTCACTAATAGGTTCCTTTCGCTCATTAGTTACCTATAATTCAGTTAGAATCTTGATTCCCTTATTATAACTAGAGGTAGGGTTTCGAGAACTCTAGTATATTATCATGAATTAGTTATTTACATATTCCAAATCATATAATCATGTTGTTAATTTGTCGCTTGCATGAATTTTAGAATGTTAACTATGTAATTCTTAGTTCTTGAATTACACATGCTCGATTAGATATTTCAGCTATTCAAATATACATGCCTCAGTTTTGAATGAATCATTATCAATTCAACAATGTTTCATTCTTAGGTTGCATGTCGATTTTGAGCTATCCTGTGTATTACAAAAACTATGTCATAACGTGTTAATTACTTAATCTATTGGGAGTAGTATAATAGCGAGTTGGACTAGGGTCAATCACCCATATAGTCCCAGAACTACTAGTCGCATAGGTTGTATGTCCTCTCTGTGGACATCATTTAGTGAACACTTTGGTCATGCCTCTATACCTCAGGCAAAGTATATTGGGTCCTCTCGATTCGACATATATATCTGACTCCATATTTAGCTCATATGGTTTTATTGTCGGTTATTAGTAGCTCCAACAATTCAATCAGACTCTATTGCATTGACCATCTTTCAGAACAGTCAATATTCAATCTCATCATGTTATAAATTTGGTCATTGCATCCAGATAGTTCAGTATTTAGTATATTTATCATGTTTGGATTATATTATTGCTTTATTTCTTTGTTCAGTTTTATGTTATTTAGGTTTACTCTATCCTGCGTGCTTCATACCTTTCAAGTACTGACGCATACTTTGCACAACATCTTCTCTTAATGTAGGTCTAGGTTCTCATCTTTCAGATCACGCTAGCACAATTCATAATAAAATTATTAACTTTAGGAGGAAATTTAAAGTGAAGAAGAATCTGATACATGACCATTCAAATCGATCAAAAGTTTTCTCAAGATAAATTTTTAATATAAGACGTCCTTCCTTACTCTTGATCCGTTTGTGATAATATATTAGTCCTTGATTTAGGATGACATTATCACAAGCCTTGCGTCTTTTGAGGAAACTAGTTTGGCAAGGGTCTTAAGATTGACCAAGTTCCTTTTTTTTTTTTTGATAATTTGCATTATTAGCGATAAATTACAAGAATGTATTTAAATCAACATAAATATATTATATTAATATTTATTTTTTAATTCATTTATATATAATATTAATTGAAATTTTGAATATGTATATTTAATCTAATAATTATATTTTTATAATAAATATATAAAATAATTTCTCTATTAATATTAATAATTATCACTTTTTGTAATTTGATTTTCAAAAATTATTTTTTAAAAATTAGTGAAACACAACGTGCTTATCAAAAACGAGTTCTTGATGGGCTAGTGGATATGGTGAAGGGGGATGTTCATCAGTCAAAATCCAGCGGCAAATCACAATTGACCTACCAAGAGTTTCACATTTTTGCTATGTGGGGAGCTGTTACCCAGAAAAAATAATGCTCAAAGCTATACAGATTGTGGGTTCATCTTCTGGGTTTGCTTCCTATAGATTTAGAAAGCCTCAACCCAATTCTGCCTTCTCCTTAATTTCGAGAAAACCCATTCTCACAACATCTGAAACTTTGTTATTGCCGGCTTCTCAACTACATAGTCACAAGTCCTGTTTTAGAGATTTTCGAATGTCTTCAACTCATTCAAAGTCATCCTCTTCTTCATCTGTTGCAGTCCAGTCAACTGTGAGTTGTTGTTGTTACACCTGTGCATTTCTTTTGATTTACTGAAATTGATGTCTCTAAAGTGTTTGATTTTGTAATTTCTGGTGCCATTTTGCTGGACTGATTGTTGAGGAGGTTGCATATTGGAATGGAATTTGATTACTTGAACTAAAACTATTTGTTTGGGTAGGTATGAATCAATCACAAATAACATAAGTGAAATAGAGGGTGAAGTAGATAGTTTAGTTGATTTCATAGGACAATTTCAGAGCCACCTATCTAGACTTTGATCTTGATGATGCCCTCTGGGGTTGTAAAACCCACCCATCAGCTTTTACTTGATGTTTTTTTTTTTTTTGGTGTGAATACATAGTTACCATTATCAAAAAAGAAATAATCCTATATTCAATCATGAATCATCTATGCTCCAGTCCAGTGCCTTAATTTTAGGTTAGAAATTCTTGGCTTATCTAGAGTGCCAGATGTTATATTTAACATTTTTGGATTTCACGAATACCCTTTCACAGATATATGTTGGAATTTGAATGGATTGTGCACCTCTTTTGATGGTTGTTGATTTACTGAAAGAGATGACTGAAGGTGCTGGATTGTGCCATTTCTAGTTCCATTTTCTTTGTCTGTTGTTGGTTGTTCATTCTTTTTGTCTGAGCCCTGAGGTTATGTCTTGGCACATCGAATGAGATTCAAAGTGGTGTTTGACAAAGATAAGCACAGGTTTAACGCTATTTTGGACACTTTTGTTAAATAAACACAAGGTTGATTGAACTAGAATGTTTTCTATTTGACCCTTCAAGGTGGCCCAATGGTTTGCGCTTGGGACTTCCATGTTGGAGGCCTCAAGTTCGGAACCCCTTGCCAGCAAAAGCAAGGGGTTTGCCTTCTGGGTCGAGCTCCTGGTGCGGGTTACCTTTCCTATATGGTTTGCGAGCTATTGCATAGGAGCGGGGGTTTTACCCTGTGCGCACCCAAAGTGTAGCGACTGCGGGTTTCCCTTGCCATAAAAAAAAAGAATGTTTTATTTGTTTTTGTGTTAAGCATTTAGCTATTTTACCTCTTACGCAACAATTTTTGTATAAAATGAAGCCTCTGCGTTTAAAGCCTAACTAAATTATCTTTACTCATCGGGCTTTTGATGCATGCCGATAAACCATATTTGATGACCCATTTTTATTCTCTTTCTATCATTTTCTGCAAATAAATTTTGCATATATTCTGTTCATTGAAACTGCTAAATGAAAGTACGGACTAAGAAGATCAGGTATTGAATTAAAAGATGCTTTCTCTCTCTCTCCTTTGTCCTTCGCTATATTCTTGTTGACCTCATTTCCAATGCAACCTTGTTTCCATCTTATTTTCTAGCTAGCTCAATCTTGTTTACTTTATATTCTCCACATCTTGCTTAATAATCAAGTGCCTACTTTGATTTGTTGCTCAAACATTACCAAATGTAGGTGTTAACACCCTTTTAGTCTGCCAATGGTCTACACATGGAATATTTAAGGAAATTTGGAAGTAGAATTCATCAGCTTATAAGTTATTTATTTTTATTTCTGTCCAGCAGTGTTTTTAGTAGATTATTACAGCTTTTTAGTTATTTATTATCCCTATTTCTAAGTAGCAGTTGTTGCAGTAAGGAGGTTATTACTCCACTTTCTCATTTAGTTGTAGTAGGCAGTTTTAGTAGACAGCAGACAATTATTTTCCCTGTTTCAGTGTTGTATTTAATGTATTTGAATTCAGTGAAATAATAAGCAGAAAATAAGTCAAGTTTTTGAGTACTTCAAACTCAAGAGATCGCAGGTTCTCTCTTAACGAACCAGCACCATAAGTCGTAGGAAGAGAACTTCAGATTTCATATTCCAGCGTCCCATAACGAGATCCATAACAGGGACCATAACAGTAGGCCTGATATCAAATCTTCAATTTAAAGCTGCTTTATCTTCTGCTACGTTTGAGCAAAACTAACATCATAAGTCCAAAGCCATATATTCTGCTGTAAAATGCCTTTGTTGGAAGTAGTAAACATCACCTTTCCACCCATGTATTAATTTTTTCTGATGATACACCTCTGGCTTGCCCGAATCCCCCCCCCCCCCCCCCCCCTTCCCTTGTGCCATTGCTTCCACACATGACTCTTCATTTCTTGGATCCCTTTACTGGCGGAGTCATTTCCATGCACTTCTCTTCCTTATTCACTTCTTTTGCCTCATGCTATCTATCTTTATGAATAACATCGTTGCTTCCTCTTTGCACCCTTTGATATCTATCGAACTCTTCGGCGAATAAGATGATGTTCTGATGTATCCATATAGGGACATCAAAGTTTGGATCTTCTCTTCCCCCCCGGGGTATGTTGGCTCAAAGGTATTGCATCTCGAATGTTGTCAAGCTGGAATTGTTTTCTTCACTTTTCAGCATAGCGGATTCTTGCATACCACTATCTTCCCAAGGTTGAGGGATTTCAGAAATTTCTGGATTCTTTACTATCGCTTCCTCTTCTTCACTCTTTTCATGAGTTGGAAAGATTGGCTTCAAGTTCGACAGATATTGGGTCAATTAAATTAGAGGAAGAGTCATTCACTAGCCCATTTGAGATGAACTGCACCAGCAGATCTGGGCCCAAACTTTTCCTTCTAATCATAGGCCTCTTTCTCTTGATTGGGGTGGAAAGTGGGACCTCAGTCACGTGTGCCTTGTCACTTGCTGGCACATTGACCAGTTCATCACTTCAGGGTGGTCGGAGGAACCCATGTGCCCTGCCACCTTTGTAAAGCCTAAAAGGCTTTCATGTTCTAATCCACCAGTTCCTTCGTCAAACCTCTTGATCTTTGGATGTTCTTTGCTGCGTGCACCGTAAACCACCCTCGCCGGCGTCGCAACCCAGATTCGGACTTTCAAGGTTAAATGTTAGTGGACCAGCTCCACCGAGTTCGGAACAGAGACTCTGTCTCCTCTGACCTTCATCCTTGCCCATTTGAGGTGATTTCATAACTCAGTTTCTTCTTCAGTTCTAATCCAGCCTCCACATAAGTTTCCTACCTCACGGAAAATTTTTTGGGACCAAAGTTGGAGGAGCAAACCTACTACTCTGATACAGACCTGGTTCGGCCTATCATGGATGGAAGTCAATGTCAGCAACCACCACTGTAGGTTGAACTTGTAGGATTTCCACCACTTCCCTCTTACAATGTGGTCTGCAGCTGGTTTGTTGGGAAACTCAAAGAGGAAACGATTGTGCCCCAAATCGTAGATGTTGATTCCATGCTTGTGCTTCCAAGTGCTTGCCACCCACCGTCAAATCTCTGATAGAAAGGCATCTGGAAATTGGAATCTCCTCTGGGGGACATCCAACCACACCTTTTGCTAGTAGTTCATTTTGATTTGTTGTTGTCGAATCTGTAATAAAGATCAATTTCCTTTTTTTGTTGAATCTTGTAGCATTTATTCTATTGTACACCATTTATTGTTTCTGACATGTGAATAGAAGAGACCCTCTTCTGTTTTCCTGTGCAACATCTTAACTGCCTTCTGGGCCTTAGCGTTTATGAAATTCATTATTTTGGTAGCTATGCCTATCCATCCTGGGTTTAGTGACTACTCGGGGATGATGATGACAACTCTTCTCTTACCCTGCATATTTGAAATGCTAACTTATTGACCATATTTGTTATAATTCCTTGAGCAGAAGAACTCTGTGAACTGGTCCCGAAACTTCCATCTATGGACTGAATTTCCGTATGCTTCTTTAAGAGCAAATGCTAGCCGCTCATCGTCTTGTAGATAGTACTATCGTGTTCATCATGTTACAACCTCGTTCTGCCCAGTCTTACCATGTTTCAGCCCTAGAAACTACTTTGGTAATATCGTAAGATTTGAATCCTACAGCAAAATAAATGGTATAGTCCTCCATGGTTGTAACAAAGAAAAAAAGGTTGGAGAGGACTTGGGTTGAGGGAGGTTCTAGCAATGGAAGATTGCCGGAAAAGGGATTCTAGGGGCCCAGAAGAGAGCTGCAAAAGTTTCCTCGGGTAATGTGCCTGGTAGCATTTTGACTGGAAGTGATTTAATCTCTTTAATGATCCCTTTTATTATCAATTTTCCATAAGAAAAATATTATAAAGCAACAAGCATACATTTCCCAAAAAAGTCCTGCAAAAACTTTGATGTGAATATACCATCTGATGAAAAATACCTAATCACATCCTAACATCAACCTAGCGGTCAAAACATGCGCACTTGTCCAAAATGGAAGGCAATATGCAATCAGAAATAAATGGAAGTGGCTTCTTATTGCACATAGCATTCTTCTAAATGCTGGCATGCCTATGATTCTAGGTATCTGATATAGAATTGGCTGTACAAGTTGAAAACAACCAAAATCTGTTACGAACTGAGGCATTCAACTGGAGTTTCTCTCTCCTCTTCTCTCCAGCCTTATCTTTCGTTTCTCTTCCTACAAAGAGTTTTTTCATGCCAGTTGTGAAGAATAATGAACCTTGAGCTTGTCAACCCAAAGGTTAGCTTATATGTGAGGATTTCCCAACATCATATAAGGACATGAGAGCTCATTTCTTCAATCAACACAAACACTCTTAACACCCCACCCTGCACATCCAAGGGCTGGACATTTGAAGTATGACTAAATAACATGGGGGTCCAACAATATATAAACCAAGAATAGGAATGAGTCCGATGCTAATACCATTTGAAGGAAAATGAACTCTGGGCATGCTAATACCATTTGAAGAAAATGAACTTTGGGCATAACTCAACTCCAAAAGCTAGTTCATGAGGTGAGACATGCCCAACGTCATGTAAGGTTACAGCAAACCCTCTCTCCACTAATGCGAGATACTGTTACCACCAGCCAATTTTTTTAAAATTCACCTTTATGTTATTTAAATAGATCTGAGAGCATTTTGTGTTTCATAAATTGTTCAGGTTCCTTTATCTTTTCCTTGATTGATTTCAGTTCAAAGATTTTGCAGGGAAACATTCGCAAGATCAACTTCTGCCAGTTTTGCGGGGGCCCAAATAAGCATGAGATACCTGATGGTGAAGAAAAGGTGAGAGCTATCTGCACTCATTGTGGGAAGATTACATATGAGAATCCAAAAATGGTAAGATTTTCATTAAGCTTCACTGTTCCGCTTGTATTCTTGATTAAATGCAGATTAATCATTGTATTCTTTCTCAAAAAAAAAAAAAACTCATTGTATTACCTCTTGCAATCGTAATGACCACATTATTTTCCTTTGTCTTTTCAGTGCCTACATGTTTGGTGGTCAAATTTCAGTATTAATGATGTGGGAATATTCATTTTTGTTTAGAACCAGCTATAATCACCCAGCCAAATCAATTTGGTGACAGTGGTTCAATTCGATGGTTTGAATTTTGTTTATGATTTTATTTTTGGTTTCATATGGGGGACAGTTTCAAATATGTATACACCTAATCATATCGAAAGGTGTAGTACAGTGGTCATTGAGGTGAGTACAAATCTAAGAGATCAGGGTTCAAATCCCCGTTGAGACAAAAGAAGAACACTAGATTATTTCTTCTCTATCTGCCTAAGATTTGGAAGTTTGCCACATAATGTACTATGCTTCTTTTAGTAGACCTCTTTAAGGTCATGGTACATCTTCGTGGAACCAGGATGAATAGAATACCATGGGCAAGGTGCTTCACTCATAATGTTCTCTTGAAGCGCTTCATTATCGGGAACATATAATCTGTCTTGGCAGCTTAAGGTGCCATCTCCTGCGAGCTTAAATCCTGTGACTTCTACGTTGGCGGATCCTCTCTTTATACTGAAGTAACAAGGGGTCATCACACTTCTTCTCTTTCACTGTTGCCGTTAAGGATGACGTTGTAGTATACTGGACAACTACTTCACCATCTTCAGAGTCCATGAGTCGGACTCCAAAGCTTGCTAATCCTATGTGCTAAACTCCCCATATACAGTTGGGATTTGATAAATATGATAGACAATACTTTGTTTGTTTATTCATAGTCTCCCCCTACTTTTGCTCTCATGAATCTTAGATTATAATTACCTTTTGGTGTTGAGTCTTCTTGTATATATTCAAACCCTTACCTATTCAAAAAAAAAGAAGTGGTTTTTGCCTTACATACCTTGTTAGTGTATTACCATGATCAATTACTCCGTTGCAGCTTCAATCTACCAGAATGACGATAATAACACTAACATAAGCAGCAAATCAAGAAGCTCGGCCAGTCACTCAATATGACAAACATTTGACAAGTGACAAGCTCACTAAATTCTCAATTTATGACATACTTCATATCTAAGCTTTCTTGTCAAAATTAACAGCTCAACCGCTTACTACGAGACCATCTACCTTCCTCCAATCATATAACAACCAAAACAACCATCCATGCATATCAATTACTGCAAGTTAGTTTATTGAAAAGGGAAAAACTGCTTCCGATCACCACCCCGTGAGTCGAGCTTGTAAACTATACTTAAAAGGCCATTAGAATCTCTTGTATGTTGGTAGAAGAACATTCATACCTCACTTAGAAAGTTCAGCAAAGAACATACTGAACCTTCGAGAAACAACATGGGTAAGGATGATTCATGAGCTAGGATGAAGACTTTCACTTGATTCCGTGGAAAATTCACTTGGCTTGAACTTAGGTGGTGTGGAGGACAAAATCTCTTGAGAGACGGTCCAAAACGTGAAAGAACAAATGCCAAATGAAATCCTAAGCCCTAACTTATAAAACAAAAGTTTTGGCTGCCATACCCTTGGGTGCCATGTGTTCCACATGCAATTAGGGTCTGCGCAGGTCTTTAGTAAAGTATGCATAACTTCTTGTAATGAAGTCAGATTGACGAGTGGTCTGTCTCATGGGAAACTAGATCACATAACTCCTCACAGTCTAGGAGATATACTCGTTCAGAGTTGACCCTTTCGCGGCACGTAAAGGATAAACCATTCGTAGTCGCTTTTGGCTTGACTTAAACAATAAATCTTTATGAATCTGTAACCTTGTATCACCATAATAGACTGACCCTTAACTTATATACTCATTCTTGACCGTCCCGTGGTTGGACCAATTCATTGATGTTAGACTAGTCGTACTTGAACTTATAGGCACAGGGTATAACAGTTAACCCTGAGTATGTACTAGTGGGAGATAGCAGGTATCTGGACTAGTCGAGGTGCATGCAAATTCGACTCCACACCATCGTTATAAACAGATAATATACCTAATTGCACCTAGTAATCAATATAGAACGTTTGGCAAAATGCTGCAGTGCAGCACAGGTTTTTGCTTGGTCTTTGTAATTCTGAGGTTAAAGAGACTATTGAGACCCTGTTTTGTTTTATGTTGTATTTTGGAATAATGGTTTGGGAGCTTGCTAAACTTCAGGTCATTTTTTCATGGGGAAACAGTTGTGGTTATTTTACCCATTTGAGCTGCACACCTCCAGGAGGGATGCTCAAGTGTGCTCTCGAAGAGCAGCCCTCCACAGAAATCTTAGTGATTCTAGTTGTTCACTAATATGAACCTCATGGAGTATAGTTGTTCTTATTGTAAACTTTGAGGTCATAAGACCAAAATTACTCTTTTCATAGCACATGAATTAACATTGTTCTTTCTCCCATTGTTGGTATTAATATTCATTTGTGCAACACACATCAATCCCGGAACTTATTCCTGCTTCTTACTAAGGGGGTAATATTTGTAACGCTTTGTTCTCAAATTCAGGTTGTTGGTTGCCTTATTGAGCATGATAAGAAGATATTAATGTGCAGGCGCAAAATTCACCCATCATATGGACTTTGGTATGTGTCTACCAACAGAGTTTAGTGAGAAGGGAGGACTTCCTTCCACAACCTCTAAGAAAGTTCTCTATTAGTACCCAGAATTCAGAAATGTAGAGAGTACTGAAGTAATTCGAATTCCAGTATAGTAAAGTTTATCTTCAAATAATGTTGTACTGGTAGGACGCTCCCAGCTGGCTATATGGAGATTGGTGAATCTGCTGCTGAGGGAGCAATTAGGGAAACCTGGGAAGAGGCAAATGCAGAAGTAGAGGTTCAATCACTTTTTGCTCAATTGGACATCCCTCTTATAGGACAAGTTAGTATAAATTCTTGAAGATGGCATTTACCTCCTATGAATTATGACCGATATTGGTGATAATTATTTTTTCCTCATCTTTGCAGACGTACATGATTTTTTTGGCAAAACTGAAAAATCCCCACTTTTCACCTGGTCCAGAATCATCAGAATGTCAGCTTTTTGAACTTGATGATATTCCTTTTGATTCTTTAGCATTTTCATCAATGCTAGTAAGCTTGAATCTGGTAATTTTTTATGCTACATGGTTAAATATTAACTTTACAGAAAATATATATATGTGTGTGTTCATTTGCTTGCTCGCGCTAAAGTTAAATTATATCTCTCTCTTATTTCATCTCATTGTAGTACATAGAAGATATTAAAGTTGGAAGACCGAAGTTCCATTATGGCGTCATTAACAAGAGGTATGTTGGTCACCCTATGTTATAGTGTTCACTTAGTTCTAAGATCCTCAACAAAGCTTTAGTGATTTGTTGTTATGTAGCTAAAACTCTTTAAAATCATTGTCACACCTGTATTGATACAACATGGATGTGAGTGTAGGTGTGGGATAGATAGGATTTGGTCAACTTACCTTGGGTACTTTGACTACATCTATGGGCGAGAAGTATAGATTAATTGGGTATTTAGTTTGATTTTTGGGTTTATATAGTATGACTATGAGCATGTTTTACTATTATATCTTATCTTATGAATAAATATTACTCCTACTATCCAAATTTATGTGGAATGCTTTCCTTTTTAGTCTGTCCAAAAAGGAATGTGACCTTTCTATAATTAGAAATAACTTGACTTTAAATTTTTCCTTTTACCCTTGATGAAATGATTTATAGCCACACAAATACCTCAGGTTTGTTTTAGACCACATATTTCAAGTCTTTTCTTTTTTTCTTGAACTTTGTATTTCTGCACCCGAGTCCAAGCAACTTAGGTCTATTGTTCAAAGCATGCTAGGTAGTCCTATTTGAATATGTATGACAATTTAACAGAGAGCACTTCCGATATGAATATTATTTGTAGCTCAACTAATAAGATGAAATGTCATTTGTTTGATGAAGTAACTGATAGGAGAAATCCCAAACTATAAATGTTCTTTTATTCCCTGTTCTGCAAAGGTGCTGTATTTCTTTCTCATATTAGGTCACTAGAGTGTTGGCTAAAAACTGTCTCTATATTTCTCATTTTGCTGGAGAGGCTCCACTATCAGTCTTCTCGATATTAGCAAGCTATGGATTGTATCATCTTGTCTTTAAATATCATTTGACTGGAAAAGAGAGAAGATCCTCTCATAGTAACTTGATTAACGTCAGTACTATGGGTATGCCTTACAATGGTGGTGGTTATGCATTTTTACGCTCTCCATTCAAATTTATTTCTCAATTCTTTGGCCTTAAAATTAATTTCTCACTTCGTTGCGCTTCAAATTAAGTTCTCCCACTGTTGTCAAAGGCACACTTAAAGCACGCTTAAGCCCTAAAGTGAGGCTCAAAACACGGTGAGCGCTTCGCCTCGCCTTATATGTGCTTCAGTGTCGTCATCAAGGTTCTAAGGCATATTTATCCTTGCCAATGAGCCTTTGTTGAAGAGGCACACTAAACAATTGATATTTAACGTTATCATAATTTCTTTGTTTATATAATTGTCATTCATGTTTATAATTATTAGTTTTGGACAAAACATATATATATTTGTAATTTCCTCTTTGCGCCTTTTTTCATGAATGCCCATGCTTTATTTGCGCTTTTCACTTAAAGCCCCAATGGACCTTAGAGCTTTTTTGGGCTTTTTGCCTTTGATAACACTGAGTTCTCTGAAATTGCAATTTACTTTGCAAGACCAGCCCCAACTCTATGGAGCCGCATTGGCCCCTCTTACTATCCTAATCTTTGGTGAAGCGTAAATTAGTGTATAGAGTAGTTAGCTGTCTCTACAGTGGCAAGTTCATGTTTTTATTTCCTTTTAGCTCCTTCGATTGGGATGACTTAAGCTGGTAGGGTACCCATTTGTTTCTTCTAACATTTATTAGAACTCTGGATGTGATGAGCACCCAAGACTGCAACCCAGCTGTCAATGAGGTGGGAGAAAACCTTGGTGACCAGGGATCAAATCCCAACAAAGACAAACAAGGCTAGTTCATTTCCCCTTGTCTTTCTAACCTTTGTCGACAGAGTTACTCTATACCTATGCTGGTGAGAGGACAGGTACTGGCGGAATAATTGAGGTGCACACAAGTTGGCTCCGATACAATTATTATCTCCCCCCTACCCCCCCCCCCCCCCCAAAAAAAAAAGGATTGGATTAACATGCATGCGCAGGCTGAATCAAACACCACTGTTATCCAAAAAAATAAGCAGATTGGATTGACATGCATTTCGTCGTATATAACCCTATCTCTCAGTGGAATAATATGGCTGCAGATGTAAGGTAACACGTTTTGACCTGGGAGTAAATGTCTCATACAATTTGACTTTTAAGTTGAGATACATGTTATTACTCCCCCATTATTCAGTTCTTCTTAGATACTCCTTCTGTCCAACAATACTTGTCCACTATTGACTTTTTACACTTTCTTAAAAAACTATAAATGGAAAAGGTAAATTTACTATATCATCCTTTACATATTATAAATACAAATGTCTTGAAAAAAGTAACATTGAAATGACTTAATTAATGATAAAGGTGAATTAGGAACTAAGTATAAAATTATCCATTGATTTCATCAAGTGGACAAGTATTGTTGAACATCCAAATAGTATAGTGGACAACTATTGTTGGACGGATGGAGTATTAGCTTATTTTTCCACTTCCGATGCTTGATTTCAAGGGCTGAGCATTTGCTGAAAACTAGGATGTTGAAGAGTTGAAGACTAAAATAGTTAGACCTGGGAATATGTATGTTGTTTGAAAGTTGAAACTGCACTACACTATGGCTCTTGGCTTTTTTTTCTGCCAAGAGCTTTTCTTTGAACTGTATTTCCTTATTCCTTTCCATTGCTTATGTGTTTCCAGGCCTGGAACAAGCCCTTCTGATATCCATGCTTACACTCTGGATTTTCATATGCAATCCTGAGAAGCAGATACAATATTTTCAAGCACTAGAATGCGGTTGGTATGTTCGTCAAGACTGAAACAGCTCCGGTGTTTTCATCAAAGCTTTAGTTGTGTACTTGTGGTGATAGTTCCATTCTTTCTAATCACTTATCTAGTAGTAAAAAGTCTTCCTGATTTGAGTTGTTCAAAATTGACTTATGATGTGTGCAGACTGAACTTATAAGATGGGACACATCCACATTCAATTCATTATCAGATTAACATCGATTGTGACAACTGATACAAGAATCAATGAAACACATAATATATCCAACCAAACAATTTTCACTTATCAAATAATTCATATCAGGTGTGACTAGTTCTCAATTTTGGGCTGGATAATGACCAAAAATCCCAAATGAAAAATAATACAAAGTAACCTAATAAAAAATACAACTCCCTCTGTCCCATTTTATATGACTTATTTTCTTAATTAGTCAATCTAAAAAAGAATAACACGATTTTATGTCAAGTAATAGTTTAACTTTAAAATGTTGATTTTATCCTTAATGAGATGAATTATACTCACATAAATATCTATTCTTTTTTTTTTAGACTATAAATTTCAAAAAATCTTTCTTTCTTTCAACTCTGTCGAATCAAACTAGCTTATAAAATGGGGATTGAGGGAGGATATAATAAGGATTAAAACAACTGTGATGAGGAAAGAATTTGGCAAGCAACTCTTTTGATGATATATGCCTGCCTAAATGAAGGTATGACTGGATTTCTCTTTCATCACTATTAAAGAAGTGGACTCCACTTATTGGATTGCAACTGTACAAAGTATGCATGAGTATTTTTTTATAGAGATGCATACTGTACTGGTGGACCAAAAATAAGAAATTACTTTAACAAAATACAATAAAACTTGTGTTATGCTTCTCTGCTGTTCCTTCAAGTTAATTTGCTATCAATTTTTTTCATATTTTTTATATTATTCCATCAAAAGCCACCTGTTGTGATCCAAAGGGATAAGAGGGAAAGAGAACACAGCTATTTCAGGGAACAAAATCAATCAACAAATTGAAAAACAAAATTTGACTAGTGATCAAATTTGATTTGATTTGGTACTAAATAAAATATTTTTGACTATACTTGCGTTGGTTTGATATTTCGACTGTATTTGGATTAGTTTGGTTTTAACTAAAAAAAAGTTAGTTGAGATCAAAATAATTCGCTATTATATATAAAATTACTTTGATATAATTTATAAATATTTTTTTACATTTTTCATAGTTTTAATCTTTTAACATATTATTTTGAGTCTTTACAATTCTTAATGGCCCAATAAATATTATCATCCATAGATATTAGTAACTCTAATAAAGTTCGAATCAAAATCAAATCAATACTAATGCTAACAAAAAATAATTAATTTAATGCTAGAAATGACAATAATATTGAAGAGTTGTTCTTTAATTTTACATCGGTTTAGTTAATTAAAATGCATAACCTAATTCAGATTTAATCAGGATCCAATGTGAGTATCGAAAACTGGGTGAAAAATCAAAAAAGAAAGTCACATAATTATTACTTATCAAGATTATTTTTGCATGATTTAGTACTTTTAATTATGATAAGTTTTTATGACCTATTAATTTCCAATATTTGTTATATGCAATTTCATTTTGTTATTTTTGTTGTCATCACTAATTGTGCTATTTTCTTTTTAAAAACCTTAGATAATTGTATTTTGGTAGAACTAAAGATATATTTAAAGTATAAGCTAATTATATGTTTGATACTTCATAAGAGAAACCTGTAAACCAGAAAAAAAAATTGAGGTTGAAAAATTCAAGTTATATCAGTTTGATTTGGTTTATAGATTTTAAAATTCTATAATGATTTGATTTGATGTTTGAAAAATTTAACTCAACCCAACCCGATCATATACACCCTTAGATCACCTGTTAATTTGTTATGAATGAGAAGGGGAACTAAAATGAAGGATTTTTTTTACATGAACAATATATTTTATTTGATTAGTTATATTTTTAAGTGTTACTTTATTTTTATTACCATATATGACATAATTTTAACTTTAATAATCATTTGATATAAATATGTACTAAAGTTTAGGAGAGAAGAATTAGAGAACAACACAATTGCTCACAAGATTCATAAATAAAAGTCACGTTTATTTATATAAAAATAACACCCTATACACATTTAAGGTTATATATATCAAGTTATAAATATACTTTTTAAAAATAAATTACTTATAGCAGATTATTATCGAGTTATAGCATATCAATTAAAAATATATTTAATTAAAAATAAATTATAAGTAATTATTTAAATACTAATTAATATGTTTAAATATTTATTTTTATTTTTTACAACTAACTTTTTATTTTTATTTTTTTAGATAAAATAAAAAGAAAAAAACGTTTATGTATGAATTGGTAACCAACACTAATTGTGGGATTTGAATTAATTTTGATTAATAATGGATAATTAACAAATTAGCATATGTTAAAGAATTCAAAAAGGACTTAAATTATTCAGTTTCCTTAAAATGTTCAAATTAGTTTAAATCAAATTAAAACATGATTTTTTTCTCTCTTTATCACCTTTTAAAGCTTTTAATATAAATAATAAATTATTATTAATTAAATTTTACATTATATAGTTACCTTTTAAAAAATAAAATCTAAATAATAGGGATTTGATTTTAATTAATTCCCTATTATACGGTTGCCCAATAACTATCCACCCCCATCTCAACCAACACATACATAGACATCTTTCCCCAATACACTCCATCTCTCCCCAACACGCGAACATATTTTGATCTTTCCCAAATCCTGCCTCACACTCATCATCTCTTTCCAACACGCAAAGATTTTTTGTTCTTACCCAAATCTCGCCTCACTCATCTTCCCCATTATCCCTCTCAGATCAGTTCACCCAAAATCCAAACATCCCTCTCAGATAAGTTCCCCATTTAGTTCATACAGAATGTCTAGGAAAGGTAGCGAAATCCCAAGTAAAGTAAAAGATTGGTCGATGAGACTGATGACTTTCATGTTCCTTCATTCAATATATTGTCACAAACTCAAGCGCAGAAATCAAAGGGAAAAGAGAAGTGTAGTTCAGTTAATTCGAAGATGGAAAAAAACAAAATCAAAGAGGCATTGAAAGTGATCGATCAACAAGAAAGTTTTCAAAAAAAAATCAGGGATACAAGCTACAAATAAACCCAAAAAAGTTGATAAAGTTAGTAAAAAGATTATTTCAAATTTGGATTACAATGTGTTGTGTTAGTGTATTTAATTTTTACTTTTATTTATCAATAGTATACTACATGAACTTTATATGATTTATGTATGAGTTGAGTTTTTAATATTTTATATTATAATTAAATATGAATATTAAATGATTTAGCGTTGTATGTTTTGTATATGATATAATTTGAATATATCAGTATATGATTTGATACATAATAAATGTATTAGTTTTGTATGATTTTGTGTACAAAATAATTGGTCATTATCGATATAGGAGTGTATGCATTATGTATTGCTATTATATATGTATGAAATGATATTCTTGTCCAGTTAAATATATGTGTATGAATGATGTATTAATATTGTGTATCCTATAATTTTGACTATTATAATAAGTATTGCAACTATATATTTTATTTTTTGATTTTGATGTATGAATTGACATATTCATACTAAATGAGATTAGTATGTAGTTTTAAAGTCACATATTAGTTTTTTTTTAAAAATCGTATATGTATTAATATTGTATGAATTGTGTATGAACTGAGGCATATAATTTCTATGATTTCTGTATGAATTGAATTAAATGTCCATTGAATATTTATTAATATTGTATGAATTTTGTATATAATTTGTATGATTTGTGTATGAATTAATTGAATGTCAATTTAATAAATAATTGTATATATGATTTTTTCTATGGAATTTTGTAGTATATAAAAAGTAATAATTTAGTTTTACAAATTTTATAGGAGAAGAAGGTTCAAACACATTTATCTTTATGTATCAACATGATTTTGTTTGCTGATTTGTTGACCTTCCTCGGTCAAGATAAGTTTCAGCAATTTTTACAAGAAATTTCATTTGGATTTTTTTATGATTTACATAACATAAAAATTCGATGTCAATTGTTGCGTTATACTTTCCTTCTTGAATCTGAAACTGGCAGGGAGGACATGTTCATTATCAATGTAAATGGTACAGAGTTACGTTTTGACTTAAAAGAGTTGATCGTTGTAACCGATCTAAAATCTGGACCAATTTCTGACTTTGTTTCTGATCCATCTGTTACCAATAGATTAATTGCAGAAAATTTCGGAGAATTTGACAAAGCCCCCAGTCAAATTTTTACCACAAGTTTAAATTGGAAAACTTTTGGAAGAAGATGACCATTTATAATTAGTTTATATAATTCATACACATTTAATATATCATTCACTGTCCTACATACTACTCCAATTAAATAAACACAATATAATTTCAATAAAAAGTTAATACAAAAACATATAATCTAATTTCAATAGAAACTAGAATATTCTTTTTTTTAAAAAAAAAATACTTTCATAAACATTTGATACACGTTTCGTATACTTTTCATACACTAATAATACAAACTCCAGACTTCAAATACGCTATACGTAACATAACTATTTCATTCAAAAAATAATAATATACAAACTGTTTTCAGATAATGCAGTTATCAAAAAAATCTAACACTGTTCTACATGTAAAAAACATCAAATTAATTAAAATAAACAAATCATAATTAAAAGAAACAAATCATAATTAAAAATCAACATGATGAATTTCACTTTCCATCATGTTTAATTAATATTGACATAATGTTCTTCATCACATCAAATCAAATTGTTTCAAACGCCAAAATTTATCAGGTTACTAAAAAAACGAACTGAAATATGCATATCTGAAAATAATCGTGGAATTTTGGGAAAAAATGACTTCTACGTTGATGCCAATCTGAAAATAATCGTTAAAATTTGGAAAAAGATGAATTGTAACGATGATGCAAATATATTTCAGAATGCCAATCTGAAAAAAATCGTTAAAATATGGTAGATTTTTTAAGGAATTAAATAAAAAAATAATAATATCATTTAAACTAACTAGAGATATTTAAGACAATGATGCTAATCTGAAAATTTTTGATATCCCTAAAAACGTGTTAATCTAATATTAATTTTTAATTAAAATTCCTTAAAACGTGCTAGTGTACAGTTTCAAAATGTGCTAACTACATTTAATGTAATTAATAAAATATCTCATTTTCCATTATTAGTTATCCGTTTGTTAATTAGGTATATTAATTATCCATTGTTAATTTATCCCTTTTTTTATTAATTGTTAATAACAATTCTTTTTAATAAATTATAATTAATATTATATTTATTAATAAAATGCTATAAATTGAAATATTAAATGTTATACATTGAAATTCAAACTCTAATGCTATAACTTGAGAATATTACTATATAAAATGTTATATACCTAATTTACACTTTATTTATTTTGCTTGCACTTGATTTTTGATATTTACGAAAATTTATTCCAAACATGCACATATATTCCTATATAACTCCTATAGTACTTTTATCAATAATTATATTGTTCATATCAATACACATTCATATCATGAACACACATAGACTAATTTTTCACAATATATATATATATATATATATATATATATATATATATATATAGACTTAATGAAAACAAATAAAATACACAAATGAAAAATCGATTATGAAAATATAACAACAGAATAGTTTATTTAAGAAATTCACTTGATGATCATTCATATGGTAAATCTAAATGATAAAAACATACAAAGGAGGAAACTTCTAATAGTTTATTTGTTAATACATACTGAACTGCATTAACAATAGTATAATTGGATTTTTTAAAAATATGCTCCTACATTAAGCTACATAAACAAAGCTTGAAAGGACTTAGAATCTTCAATGGAAACAATCTTTTTTTTAGTTCCTTCCAATTGCTCCTTCAACAATAAAAGTTGATTCAAATTTTGACACTGTTCAACATCTATATCCTCCAGCCAATCTCGGAGACTTTTCGATGATGATCTCAACTCTGAGGATCCACTAGAAACAACAACATCAGAATCTGATTGTCTCATGCAATCAATTTTGGAAAAATGCATGTTGATAGCAGTGTTAACGTCTCCGTAAGTATAAATCCTTCCAGCGGGTGAAAGAACAACAGAGGAAACTTGAGAACCCGTCAAGGATTCAAGTTCTTCATTTTTCTTGAAAAGTCCGTTCCTTCTTTTGGAGAATGTCACCATTCTACAACTTTTCTTTGTAATTTTCTCCATCTCTATTTTCTTCTTTCCTGTGCCCATTCTCCTTAATCTCCTCTATGTTTTTGCTATTCTTCAAAAAGTATAGTTTTCTTTTGAATTTGGGATGCTTTTTAGGTTTGATGCCAGTGTTTATTTATAGGGAGAAAGAAAATCACATACCATTTAAGTAACAAAAATGATAGTTACCAATTGAAAATTGGTAGTTACCTATTGAAAGTTGGTAGTTTTACCTATTGAAAATTGGTACTTACCTATTGAAAATTAGTAGTTTCCTACTGAAAATTGGTAGTTACCTAAATTTTGTGTGCATGTATAGACTCTAATCCAATCTGATAGAAGAAAGGTTGACCGATTTATTTTATGAGGTTTGACTTATGAATTGTGATTGGAAAAAATGATAGATATATCTCGGAACTATCATAAATGGTACGTCAATACCCTTAGTTATACTTTCGGGCCCTTACCATCAATATTTTGGATTATATATACCCTTAAAATAAACGGAGAGACACGTGTCATGATCTTAACGGTCCATACAAATTTAATTTAATTCTTACCCATATAAAAAAAAAAAAACCACCCATCTTTCACAACTTTAACCCATTATGTTAAAAGATGATAAAATGAACAAATTGGTCCTTAGCGGTCATTCCGTAATTTAGTTGATTGAAATGGTTCTTAATATTATGATAAAAGTGGGTTTTAATATATTTTACTTGATTGAAATGGTTTTTTATGCATAACAAAAGATGTTCAGTCTGGTCCTTTACCCCAAACATAATATTTTTATTTTAAAATTATGATTTAATGGTAGATCGGATGTCACATCAATTCAAAGATGAAAGATATTACCACATCTATTATTCCATGCTGAAGTGGGAGGATAATAACGTTGAAGAATATTCATGCGGCACATCACTGTCGGTGGAGGTAGTGTGAATTGCCAAAGAGCTTTCATTTATATTAAATTACCAAAGGAGATAGTGTTCATCACATTACATTATCAGTAGTGGTAATGTGCATTCATATTACATTATCGGAGGTGGTAGTACCAATCATATTATATTTTCAAAGATAATGATATCCATTATCGGATGTGGTAATGTCAATCTTATTACCTTATAGGAGGTGGTAATGTCTATTACCAGCGGTGATAATGCCAATCATATTACATTACATGAGGTGGCTACGTGCATCATATTACATTAGCTAAAGTGGTAATGTTCATTCATATTACATTATCGGAGGTGGTAATGTACATTACGGAAGATGGTAATGTCAATCATATCACATCATCAGAGGTGGTAATGTACATAATCGGAGCTGATAATGTTCATCATAATACATTATTGAAACATTATTATATTATCGGAGGTGTTAATGTCCATTCTTTGAGGTGGTATGTCAATCATATTACATCGTTGAAGGTGATAATGTTCATCATATTACATTACCAGAAATGGTAATATTCAATCATACTTCATTATCGAAGGTGGTAGTGTCCATAACCAAAGGTGGTATTGCTATTTATATTACATGTTGATCTCGTCAAAGAGAACCATTGACATTTCCCAGTGTTATAGATGTTTGAAGGACATACGTAGGATACATCAAATATCATAGAGGATTTGAAGTGCAACTTGCCAATAGATCCATTTCCACACCATAAACAGACAAAATGTTCGCATTTGAAGGATATTCATCAGTCACATTGATACCAAACAAGGTAATGTAGAAAGGTCATGAAAGTCACACATCACCCTAAATATGAACATGCATTTATATTCTACCAATGGAACTTCATCATTTATCCTATTAATGAATTCCCAATCGTTCTATCAATGGACATGCATTTATATCCTTCCAATCTATTCTCATATGTCTTACAGACGGACATGTATTTATTTTTTCAAATATCTTACCAACAAATTTTTATTTTTCTTATAAAATGGACCGACAACTATTGTCACGCCCCAAGCCTACACCCTAAACGTGACCGACACTCGAGAACCATTGCTGGCTCCAAGCGAACCCTTGACCTAACTTAGTTACTCAGCAGAAGACTTAAATCAATAAAGATAAATCTATGAAATAAATTGAAATTTTATAAAGGAACATTCAACTTGACCATTAAGGCAAACTCGAGTCTCAACATAAGATAATGACAATAAAGAACTAACATCTGAATGTCTATGAAGCCTCTAAAATTACTGAGATGGATGTCAGGACAAACCCCACGACATCTGAAAGAACTAATAAAATAATTGAAAGCAATAAATTGGTGTCCAACAGAATGCAAGAAGGCTCACCAACTGACTCTAGAGTGCTCACTGGATAAACGATACGCTACATGCTAATAATGATTAACTACATCGGCATCACAAGATGATGCAAGCCAATTGACATCAATACATTATATGTACGAGTATGAAAGTTCAAATTCTGTACACAACATAGGCTTGAAAAGAATCTAAAGAACTTACATGACTCAACTCAACTCAACATAAATGAACTCATTTCAATATAAAATAGTTTAAAATAAGTGGAATATAAATAAAGGTTGTTTAAAACATGATGTCAAGTCTCTGTGTATGAGAAGATACACTATAACTCTGAAATGTATGTAAAAATACAATAAAGTGTGTACATAAGAATATAATTACTTATGTGGGATTTTCTCTAACCGAAAATCATCACGTAAGATCTATTGTAATGATACAACATTTTACCTCATGATGTCAGGGCCATCATATACCTTGCCAGGGCTATAGAACATGAACTAATAAGTTGGCCCTATACCTTGCCTGGGCTATAGAACATGAACTAATAAGTGGATCTACTAGTCTATACTAAAAATCACTTAAGGAATCATGTAAAAAGTATGACCCTTTTCTACCAATGATGGCTACATGGTTTATAGGGTTGTGAGTTGTCGGAACTCTCCCCCTATATCGGTGCTCAATACTACTCCCAGAATATGATATTAGCTCTTATGTTTAAGAACATATTTTTTTCTGTAATTTGAGATAATTTCTCAAAAACTTAGCTCAAAGGCTATCTTGGAAATCATAGTTTCCTCTCTTGCTTTATTTAAAAAGTGATTATTCTTTTCAGAAAACTAGCTCAAAAGATCTTTGGAAATCAAGGTTTCCTTTCTTGTTTGAATGTGAAAACATTTTACTCTTTGGTAATTCATAGTCCCACGATATACTCTTTTGAAGAAATGCAATTCAAACTTTACTCTTCATCTTTACACAACTTGAACTTTAAGTCTTAAAACGTTTGTGAAAGACTTTTGAAAACTTTATAAACTTCTCTTTGATTTGCTTTTTAACTTTTAGACTTGACTTTGATCTTATCTTTCCTTGAAAATGAATTATGAATTCAAGGTTCATGATCATCTAATGTTTATGGATGATAATATGGTGTTTATATGTACCTTATAGTGTTGGAATCAACTAGAAGACATAGGTACATCACTAAGGAACTAGTACGAAAAGGTTGGAGAAAAATGGGGTGAATTGACGTCTCTGGCGATCTAAGAGGTGCGGGGGCCAACCATTGAAAATTTGAGACGGAATTAGGGAGCTCTAGTTGGCACGGCGCACCAAGAGTGAAACTGTAAAGCCCCTTTTGGGGCGTGCTGGCTGGCGCGACATCTAACCCCTTTCCCCAGGTGTTTGACGACTTTTCTTGCTTGCTTTTCATCTCTACACCCTCTAAACTTAAAAGGTTCTTTATCCAAACAGTTAGAATCAATTATACCCTCAATATATTAAATATTCTAATCGAAATCAAACCTAAACTCATAGATTTGAATCAACTAGCTCCTCAACAATTTTAACGAATCAAGAATTTAATAGAATTTCAACAAACCCATCAAGAACTCAATTTCTAAACTTTCAAGAACTTAAATTTGATGAAATAAATCATGATTGACACGTAGGTGAACTAACCCAACATTATGTTATCTCACATTTCATTTAGGGATCACCCCTTGGTGAAATCCACAAGCTAAAATCGACGATCTTGACGAATTTTGCTTCTCTTCTCCTTTCTTCTCTTCTTTTCTCTTTTCTCTAAACCCTAGCATATTTGGTAAAATTGTAAACTGATATAATTCTTATTAGACCCTAAATCAATTACAAAAAAATAAGTAAAACAATTCGGCAAGGAAAAGACCAAATTACCTGTTAAAAATCCAGATTGGGCTTTTCTTATTCCAACAACCCAACTTACAAAGAGTATAACTCACTCATACAAACTCGGAATTGCACAAACTTAGCGGTTTTGGAAAGATCATTCCAAGAAATTTCCTACCATATCTATAAGTAACACTAACTCATCATGAGATAAAAGTTATGGCCGTTTGAAGTTGGTGAAAACTCAAGTTATTCTAACTTAACAAAATTTCCAAATTTCATTGTTTCCAAAGATGACTATTTCCAATTATAGCTTCTTCCTAGTTATTTCAATTTGGAGATGTTACATACGAGTTACTCAAAATTCACCCTACTGAGCTAAACAAAGAGTAAGCACAACCCCACGAAATTCAATTCAATATTAGCACAAACTTACGATAATTCAACAATATAAATAATACAAGCAAGATTAGCAATTCAAGTCAGGCACGCATTTGAATATTCTAATCCTAAATGAGAGTCCCAACACACTTCAACGCGATAATATCATTTTCAATTGAGTACAACAGTAGAAGAATAAACTCAAGGTTTGGAAAACCAACCTTTTGGCTGATTAAGAATATTTAAACGCTAGGCGGCAAAGAAGTTCCACTCCAATCACAAATCTGATGACTAAAATACTTAGAAATGCAAAATATTGATATTACTAGATAGATGCGAATTTTGGAAGATTAAAGGCGAGGGAAAGTGAAAGAGTTGGAAGTTTAAACCTTTGGCGTTTTTAGAAACCCTCTAGTTCTCGCCCAATATTCACGTTTTACAGGACCTCCAGATATTGTGGGGGTTCAAACAGTGGTCTACATCGGAAACGCCAAACTGGTCGAAAATTTACCAGTA